AAGGTCGCCAACTGAAGGGATAACTAGGACCGCGCTGTTAGCGTAGTGTGCGATGTGTTGCGTGAAATGGCTTACTGGAAGACTGAGATTCAGGCTGCAATGGCATCTACTTAATGGGTACTTAATGATGTTTGCTGGGATCCCGCCTTTCAGGTGTGGCGGTACGCTAAGGGGCGGCCCCAGCCGTGAGGAAAACATGCGCTCTGTCCGGTAGACTGGACCCTGTGCTGATACCTACGGAGCAGCGCAAGTTTTCACCCTCTTTAATCCGGGGCAAGTAGCCGATCATCTATTGCCCTGCTGTAAAGCACACCATAGTCTCCATCGAAGCCAACGGTTGAACTCTCGAGCATGTAGATGGGCTGATGAATGCCGCCAGTCACTTTCATCCCAACCCCCCCTCCAGCAACAAATGGCTTTTACAGTGGACTGGTGCACGGAAATAGAATGCTTTTGTCGGTCGGAACTTTGTATCTTAGAGACTTCAGTATAGTTCCTCATAAGAATCAATTTTACTCGTCTTTAGACTACCTTAATGCGCCAAAATGCATGGCTTACAAGGCTGCCAGTGTTTCAACGGTAACATCTGACGTGTGTTACCGTCGAATTACGCCCGTTGGAATCCCCAAGGAAGAACACAATAGAAAAGGTGTAATTCTGGAATCCACCCGGAGGTGTGTTTATTGTGTACAAAACCCGGAGTTACTGTCCCGGGTGGCTGTTGCCGCTGGTTGATCTCCAGCTTGCTGATTGCCCCTCCTCGACGGCAACCTCCGGCATTAAGAGCGGACCAGCGTCTACTTGCAGTCTGGCGTGTGATGCAACTCTCCCTGTCTGCTAGGGACATTGGCTTATAAGAGGTTGTCTTTGCATTCTCTTGTGGCCTGATTGGCCGCATTGAAATAACGTCGCGTGACCAGTTGGCGTGCCCGCAAGCGCGTGTACCTGTGCCCTCTCCAGAGGTAAAAGTCATCTCGCGTGGACAATAATCGGCTGTATGCGGTCAGAGCTAACAAACAAAGACACTTGGCTAGGCTCGAAGCCTCAGGAAAGCCTCCAAACGTTGCTAGCATTTGGTCCGGCTAATATGCTAACAGCCAAGTTATGGGATTACTCTGTCTACCCCCTACCCAATGTTCAGAACGTGCCCTCATTTGCCCCCATCCCGTTCGTGTGAAATTCTAGTGGGCGGGCTTGTGGGTGGCACGAGTAGGCGGGCTATTCGCTCAATTCCGTTTTCGGTTGCAAGGTCCTTCTAGGTATTGAGGTGAGGTGGGTGATTAGGGGGAGGATAGAGTGCGAGGGATGCTGCCCAAGGCTGTCACGCAAACGTCACTGTTACTATGCACCTTCACCAGGGAACTCGCTGAACATCCTCGTGAACTTTTTAATAGAGCTTAAAGGCAGCATGACTTCAGGATTGAACTATATCTTAGTGAGACCAATGTGGCCTAATTTCTGACCTGCATTTGGTTGACCACGTCTTGCATTTTTTTGTTTGATGGCCGTCCGACCTCCAACATTTCGTCACTGTCTTCTAGGTTTATGCTACCGGCGAAGAACGTCTGCCCGTCTATGTGTGTACCATTGGGTGAGAGAACCCTAAAGCAGAAAGAAGATTACCATATGATAAGCAGGCTGGGAAATCCTCAAAGGATCCGGCTATTCTGGCTTTGTACTACTGTTAGTGGAATGAACATTAAAGATGGCACAAACACACTCTAAGGGGGTTTACAGCCGATGCAGGCAACGAGTGAGTTCCCTTGGCGTCTTGTGAGCGTCCATCAAAGAAAGTCAATATTCCTGTGCCAAAAGTCTCGTGGCTCGATGTTTAGGCCGCTGGACATCTAATCAACAGATGACTGGTTTGTACTTCGGATAGTGCACCAATTGGAGTTGAGTATAGGTGGCTGAGGACGACTTATAAGTCAGAATTGGTCACTCTTCTCTTGATAATATTTACTGGCATTGTTCATGTGCCTACAATAATATCCGCTCTCTAGCTGGTGGCCGCAAGCTTCGCAGCACCGAGGCTCGGAACCACTTGCGGTTTGTTATAAGTTCAATGCTCCATCCACTGCGCTCAGAGGTCTCTGTGTTGCTAAGTGTTGCTAATACTGACAACGTTAGATGGGTGCTTACGGAAATCAGTCGTCCCACTCTGCCCTTTGGCTCATTCTCGATCGCCGCTAGCAGCCACCCAGAAAATATCAGTTTAATCCCATGAAAATTTTCGGCAAAGAAAAGGGTGGCTGTGATGACCATTTCTGGCTTATCAGCCGTCATCATCCAGCCATACCCAACTTCATATGTTGCTGCACTCGACGCTCAAACCCAAGACCTCCTGGCTAGAGGTTCAGTCACTGCACTACGGGTATGCTGCCTTTCTTGATTTTACCAAAAATAAAAATAATAGTGCATAAGCGCTTGCCTAGAGAGAGATAATCCTCTGTTCGAGGGGATGAATGAGTCTAACAGCCAATCGGCAATCACCTATCTACCATAGTGAACGTGTCAATATTCGTGATAAAGAATACTCCATAAACGTTGCATTCGCAGGACCTATCTCATGAATGCGAGAGTCATGCGTGATCCCGTGGCTGGTAACTTACCAGAGTGGATGCAGATGTGGAATAAAATTCCGATATTTGTACAGAATAGGAGAGTCGTAATATAAAGGAGTAATACATAACTGGCTTTCAAATGCATTTCTGAAGGACGTCAGTGTTAGAAGTTATGCATTAATTCGGTACCAAGCATCCCCGGCTTTCGACATACAATAAAAATTAGTTCTAAAAATTAATTTTCTATGCATTATCCACCAGGTGGGTTCCTTTTTCTTTTTTCTGCTTGTACTGATTTGGCAAATGGCAGAAGCATTAAACGTTCAAAAATGTTCGCGATTAAACATTTTCTTAAATTCCTTTTGGCTTTTTTTGCCCAAAGGCGCATCGCAAAAAACATTTTTACATCCGCAAGATAAAATGGTATTTTAGTAGCATTTGGCACTGGTCAAATCAAAATACACCAAACAAGCCAGGATGGTCAACGGAATTTAAATGAATTGAGAAAAACTGTGAATTACGAACTTATTAGAATTTACCCATTATGCTATGCATTAGATAAGACTTATTTTGGTTTGATTAGTTGTGCAGAAGTGTCTTACCTATTTTTGGTCAGAACGCCTTAGAAGTATATGATTTAGTGCGCAAAGGTGCTATGCATCAGAACAAACCGATTGTGTGCACAGCAATAAAAGTCAGGGTCAAGGTCATTAAAGGTTGACCTCTTTTTACTAACCAAAAAATATTGACCTAACGCATTAGAAGGTGAAAGGCAGTACTTTAGAAGAAATTATAGTCAGACGTGTAGATGGGCCCATTACGAGGGATAATGGAACCCAAACTCAAGTAATTCCAGTCGCGTCGGGATGTCCGCTTCCTTACGGCAGCTTACAATATGTCTATTCTGTAAAATTGACTGCTTAATTAGTATGCATTCATCTCACTGATTTTCACTGCCCTTATAAATTCGAATATATTTTCAAATAAAAATCCTCAAATATATTCTTTCTTATACTCGATTGGTAGACAGTTGCGCCTTAAAATATTATGATTAAAGGGAGTGTATATTTTGGTTTTACAAAAATGCTTAAATTGCTGAAAAACTTTGAAACCTACCGTGCGTTACAGCTGAATTCCTGTCTAGGCAAAACTACCTAATATACCATTCTTTCAAGCATCATATTTGAAGAAGGCGCAATTTTTTACCAAACGAACTGTGAATGTTTCCTTTAAAATATATTTGAATGTAGCGGCTAGTAGTTTAGGCAGATACTTTTACCGGCAAAAACAAGGGAGTTTGAAATGGCATCTTCTGGCTTACTAGCCGTCGTCAGCCAGTCATAACTAGACTCAAGTGGTGCCCCACCAGAGCCTCGAACCCGCCACTTTTTAGATCAGTCAAACGCCCTAACCATTGAGCCACGAGCTC